ATATATATATATATATATATATATATATATATATATATATGTCTTTATGTATTAGAGTAGAATCATAAAAAGCATTGAGTAAACAGCAAGAAGTTATTAAAAAGATAAAGAAGAAACAAAGATAAAGAGAGCAAAAAAATAGTAGCCAATTTACTGGGTAATATATAAATAAATGTTAAATACAAATTATATTTACAACTCAAAGGCAGAAATCAGCAAATACAAGATTAAAAACACGACTCAAATATATGATGTCTATAAGAAATTTATTTAAAATATGTAATATAGGTAAATTGAAAGTAAAAGGATGGAAAAAGATAATCTATCAGGCAATCATTATCAAACACAAAGTAGGAGAGGCTATACCATTATTATATGCAACAGACTTCATAGCAAAGAAAATTACCAGAAACACATAACAATATTATATAATGACTGCAACAAAAAGATGTAGTGATCATAAATGTTTATATAGAAAAAAGTAAGACTGCAAAATAGGTAAGGCAAATACCATTAGAACAGAAAGGAGAAACAAATCCAATATTCAATAAACTAAAAAGACAGTGAATTAGCAATAAAATACACAAAACCAACAATATCATTAGCTTTAAAAAAAAAATCTTGGTAGTCACGTCACCCCAATTGGAGTAGGGGCAGAGCAGAGCCGCCACCCGCGTCCGCAAGGTAGGCAGACCTGCGGCCGAACGGCGGAACAGGCCCAGCGGCCTGACAGCGTGGCAGACACGTCACCCCAATTGGATAGGGGCAGAGAAGAGCCGCCGCCCGTGCCCGCAAGGTAGGCAGACCTGCGACCGACCAGCGGAACAGGCCCAGCGGCCCGCCGGCGTGGTAGTCACGTCACCCCAATTGGACTAGGGGCAGAGCAGAGCTGCCGCCCACGCCCGGAACAGGCCCAGCGACCTGCAGGCGTGGTAGTCACGTCACCCCAACTGGAGTAGGGGCAGAGCACAGCCTCCGCCCGCACCCGGTACAGGCCCAGCGACCCGCCGGCGTGGTAGTCACGTCACCCTAATTGGAGTAGGGGCAGAGCAGAGACACCGCCAGTGCCCAGAACAGGCCCAGCGACCCGCGGGCGTGGTAGTCACGTCACCCCAATTGGAGTAGGGGCAGAGCAGAGCCGCCGCCCGCGCCCGGAATAGGCCCAGCGACCCTCCGGCGTGGTAGTCACGTCACCCCAATTGGAGTAGGGGCAGAAAAGAGCCGCCGCCCGCACCTGGAACAGGCCC